CAGCCCGAGCCGGCAGGTAGCTCGTCCTCCCCTCGCCTCCCGCTTCACCTCCGCCCGGGCGGGAGGGGAGGGCGGCCCGTCGGGCAAGGGCGGGGCGGGGGAGGCTGCGCTGCGCTGCGCTGCTGGCACAGCCCGCCCGGCTTCTGGGTGGCGTCTGTGTCTACAGTGCGGCTTCTGGCTAAACGTGGGTAGCAGCTTCTGTTTATCTTCCGGTGGACGTCTTGTAGCGGGCGGAATGCCGCGGTGGTAAGTGCAGCGGTGGCCCTGCCCTCCAGGCACCGCGGTGGATGTGCCTGTGCAATGAGAGTATTTCTGTAGGTGCTTGGAGAGCGTTGCTTGTACCACGTCCGTTTTAAGGGCCGTTACGCGTGTGTCTCCACTGCAGTTTGATCTAGGATCAAGAATGAGTGGTGCATGCTGTAATATTTTTTGCATAATAGCTCGGGATGGTGTCAGTTAACAGACTAGCGTTGCTAATAAGTGATAACTGTCGTCTTTAGAAGCAGTCGTTTCAAATAAAATTTGATCTTATATATAGTTGAACTTTTTTTTTTTTTTTGGAAGGGGCACACGGTCCTCCAGCTGTAAGACAGGAAAATGGTAGCCAGAGAGAGGAATCAGAAATAAACCTCTTGTGTTGCAATACATGCAAAAGGCCATATGAACAGTCTACAAGTGAAGAACATATTGTAAAGCGTGTAAAACATGATGAAGTATACTCAGTGCCAACAGTCAGTGAAGATAAATTTTCATATATGGGTGAGGTCTTTCATTATTCCTGTAATTCTTTTCAGTTCTTTGCACTCTTTCATAAGTAACAAGTGTAATTATTAGAAAGCTTTTGGGGAGGTTTGTGCGTGGCAGCATCAGGCCTAGCGTAACATTGTTTCTCTTTAAAATGGAAATGTGAGCATTTCCATGTAATGATATATTTGTTCACATTGTCTTTCAGTGTAATTTTAATTGGCTTTAACTGGTATCAACATCTAGCGTAATCTGATCGTTGTAGGTGTGATTTTGTGTGTGTCTGGATTACAGACTATATTTAAATATACAGATACATCTGGGAAGTTTTAAGTTGACTGAAGAAGATGGGAACTGTAGTGAGAATATGGAACTTGGGGCTGACTAATCTGACACCAGTTGAGGGTGTGAAGCTGCAGTGGGACTTCTGGTGTTTCGCATTACAAATTTACATGGCTTCTGTAGTTAACTTTTTGAAGGGCTCTCTGGGGAGGGAAGTTTTGGGGATTAATCTGCTGGCAGACATTTCTTTTTGCTTAAAGAGTACGTCCTTGAAGGAGTGCTTTAACTTCTGCTTTTGGTAATTCTTTTGTAGGTGACTTTGCAGTCGTTTATACAGATGGTTGTTGCTCAGGTAATGGACGTAATAGGGCACGTGCTGGAATAGGTGTCTACTGGGGACCAGGCCACCCTTTGTAAGTATCTGGATTGATTCTTTTTTTTAAATATATTACTGTTTGTTTTGTGTGTGATTTACAATACCAGCCTCCTTTTGAATATGTAACCCTGCTGTAAAGACTCATAATAACAGTGCTATGAGACTAGTGAGTTACTGAGGGGAAAAGAGAAATCCGTTTCTCTGGGAGGTAAGAATGTGGGGAAAATCAACTGGAAATAATACTTTTAGGGGCTGAAGCTATAATTCAAGTGATGCAGAAAGTTTTAAAATAGGTGTAGGTGTGCACAGAAGACAACAAATATAGTTGCATATTGATGGCAGGTCCAAATATGCAGGTTGCACTGTGCAGGTGGAAGTTAGAGCTAGAATATCTATTCATCCTCCTTTATAAAAAGAAAAGCAGCTCTCGTATTTATTTTTCTAATGTGTAGTCATTATACACCATTCTGAATATTTGGGGTAACTAATCCACTACTCATTCCTTGGACACAGAAACACCAGTGAAAGACTTCCTGGACGGCAGACTAATCAAAGAGCAGAAATACATGTAAGTAGTAAATGTCCTAAAATGCTTCTGCATGTTAGACTGCAGTAGCATGCTTATGACTATTTCAACTCTGGCCTTCAGAAACCAGTTATGGAGCTGTGAGGGAAGTACACAAAATGTCAGGAGTTATGACTTGAAACAGATCATTCTCTTCAAGTTTCATTGATCTTTATTGGTTTTGAACAAGGTAATTCACCTTGAGAATTCCCAATTATCATCAGGCCAAGCACAACTATTTAAAACAGCCTTGCATTAGGAAAGCCTGGTTCTCAAATCTGTATAGTATCCTTTGCATTTTTAATGTGCGTGTCTCAGACCTTGGGGTTAGGGCTGCTGAGCAGCGGTTAAGAGGAGAATCGGCTTCTTATTGTGATGGGATCAGAGTGTCATATTCCTTAGATAAATATAACAAACAATTCTAGGCACTCAGGAGTAACTTCTGTTATTTCTGAAGTAAACTTCTGTTGGCAACAGCAGATTTAGTCTCCCCTTCTCACCTCATCTTAATTCTGGTACTGCTGCTCTCCTGCACCGTGTGTTTGGAGATGAACTGAAATGAGAAATTGATCTGCTTAAAAACTACAGGAAGTTCATTTTAGTGAGGGACAAGCAGAGATAATGGTGGTGTGCCAAGGGTCAAATTTGTCACTAAAGAGCTTTTCAGCCCTACATCCAGACCCAGTCACTTCTCCCTTTTACTATATTTCATAGCACCAGAAAAACCCAAACAACCTTTTAGGGGTTCCAGACTGTTGGAACTGGTATGAATCCTTCCTCCTTAAAGTTACGAAGAAAATGCCTAAAACTTGGCGTGCAGTTGATGGAGGCTTTGATAGTTAGAAAATTGGGCAGAGAGCTACTCCTCTAGTACAGAGTTGAACTTCAGAATGTTTTGGGTTTTTTTTTTGCCATGAAACTTAATGAATCAGGCAAACAGGGAGACACTTAAGTGGTCGTCTGCATGCACAGTGTTGGGAACCTCTTGCTCTAAAGCATGTTGATACTCATTGATGGAGAGATTACAGTAATATTCTTTGTAATTCTGTGTTAGCATCAGGTACTTTGCTGGTATTTTAATTGCATGTGTTCAAATCCTGTTCTGAACTGTGATTCTATTGAAATGTTCTTAAGGCAGCCTGCAAAGCAATAGAGCAAGCAAAGAGTCAAAACATCAAGAAACTAATTATCTACACTGATAGCAAGTTCACTATTAATGGTAAGTTAACAATTGTAGTTTTCCTGATTCTTCAAGACATGCTGCATGCTATTTCATTACAGAAGGCCCACAGAACATACTGAGTCCTGGGGAGAGGGATATGCATAACTTATTTCAATACTCATGACTGCCTGGGGGAAAAGCTTCAGAATATTACAGGGATCACCTGCTAACTGCATGAAATACAAGTAGAGACAAAATGCCTGTTACAGTAAAGGCTGACAGAAGTAACTACAGGATTTTTGTCTTATGGTATTCAGTATGACACAAAGTCTAGAAAAACTGTTGTTCATGTATAGTCTGTTAAGGACGTACTCGGGAAAGCACTAGGAAGTTGGTGTAGTAACCCTGTAGTTTTTTTGTTTGTTGGATTGGAGAGGCTGTCTTAATACACATATGTGAAGTACATTAAAGTTTCCTTGCTTTTTACATGTAGACTACACTTCCAAGCTTTCAGGCTACACTAGAAGACTAGCCAGGGATGATATGTGCTCAGAGTATGTATTTAAAGTTTCACCTTCATTCAAAGATTTGGAAAAACTAATTTTATTCCCTATAAATACCGTATGAAGCAGCCAGTAAGACTTAATTTCTGAATAAAGCTTCTTCCTCTTTCCCCGAGATCTTCAGATCTTACTCCTGTGGTGATTTGGAACTGCATAAGTATTTTTTCTTTATATTTCACATTTTTACAAAGGGAGTACATGTGTTTGCCGTTTCCAGATCACTTTAGAGTTGGTTTGTTTTGTTGGGTTTTTTTTAATAACATTAAACAAAATCTTACTGCAACTTTTTGATTGAAAATTAAATGTTGCACTTTCACACTTTGGTTTTTTTCGGAGGGAAGAGGGAATGCGAGTATCTTGTTCTTAGCATAACTTCCTATACTTGAGTGCTAACACTGAAAGTAATTATCTGTTTCATTGCTTGTGGATATATATTTATAAAGCAAATAAATGTTTTTTATGTGAAAAATCTGTATATCTTTTCCTCCAAATAAGTAATTCTGCTTTCCAGAAGCCCCCCATGATTTCTGAAAGTGGAGGAGTATGAGAGAAGAGCATAATTTTTTTCCTTTTTCAGGTGGCTCATGTTTAGAAGTAAAGCAAAACTTACCTTGAAAAACTCTGATGTCACCTTGAGTAGCAATACCCTAGAAAGGACAGAAAGCTACTGAGTTGGAACAAGTGACTGCTAGTCAAGGAAGAAGTTGCTGGAGCTGTCACTTGCTGCTTGTTTCAAATTCTGTTAGCTTGCATGTGCATGAAAGAGGTTCTGTCCAGAAGTGAAAAGTGTCGAGGACTTGTGCTCTGTCCTCCTGATTCTAGTTTGTAAATGTTAAGAAAAAACTTAAAGGAATTTTCCATTGCTTCTCCCTAGGGATCATCTTGTAAATCTCATTTGAGTAGCTTATTTTCTCCAAAAGATTTAGGTATAGCATTTCCTATAGGAGCAGAACGTGTGTGTGGTGGTTTCCACACACACCCCCCCTTGGTGGTGGTGGTTTTTTTTAGTCTCTGCTAGAAGCATTCTGGAAAAGGGAAGAGTAAAAGGAAGAGTCTCTACTCTTCGGGACTGGGTGTTGCATGCTGATCAATAGAATCCAAGTGCATCATTTGTTGCAGGAAGCAAGTTCAAAGCATTAAGGAGCAATGAAACATCTTTGCAATTCTTTGTTTTGTGGGAGAAAAGTCTATACCATCTTGTCTGTGAAACTGGTGTTACGAAGGAGGAAAGTTGCTGTGTCAGGTGAAATTCCTGTTAAACTTTGGTGTGAGACTTAAGTATGAGGGAGGAAAAGACGAATCTTTAGGTGTGATGTCTTGGTGTCTTTGTTTTTGCTTGCAGTTTGCTCTTGCGTTTTGGGTCACTGTGGTGCAGGTTCCACTCTTTTTTAATCAAAGCTATTTTGTAAATGTGTCTAGGAGTTATTTTTTAAAATGCCAGAGAAGGAGGATTGTGGTTAAGTACAAATGGATGTGGTTTGTTTTTTAGGAGGTTTGGTGTGCAAGATTGGTGATTCTCTATTTGGTTCAGGTCTGTTTGTCGTGAGAGCAGTAAGGGTGTCTTACACTGTCAAGACTAGTGAAGATATTTAAAAAAAAAAAATCCTTATTTAAGGAGTAATATAGTAAATTTTCTGGCCAGCAAGGGATGGCCAGAGTGTTAAATCTTGTTCTGTAGAAATCTGCTTATGTGGCTATTCTCTGAAGGATTCTGTTTAGCATGCAGAAGCCATAAGACAGGTGGCCATCTGTTTTTCCTCTATGCAAATATCTGTTCGGGAAAACATGGTAGGGTAATTGAAGTAATAATGGAAAAATAACAGTCCTGAAAGACAGTAGTGGAGAACCAAACAAGAATATCTTCCATCTCCGGTGTCTTTGCCTGAGACTTTGTACAGAGTTAACGTCTTGTTAAAAGGCTGTTTGCTCCGTCTTGATCCTTGCTGGCTTCTTTAATAGCATTTTTATGGTAATGTTCCATTTGCATAGGTATTACCAGCTGGGTTGACAACTGGAAAACAAATGGCTGGAGAACAAGTTCAGGAGGAAGTGTAATAAATAAAGAAGATTTTGAAAGACTTGATAATCTATCAAAAGGCATAGAGATTCAGTGGGTAAGCACCTCATTTCTTAATGACATCTTAAACACGCTTCTTGTAAAAACTTGCAAGTATGACCATAACTAGGAATTTTATAGAGCATAATATTGTACATCCATAAGTAAAACCATAAATACAGAAAAGCTGCTTGTTTTATTTAAAGCAAATAAGCAACATAACCTAGGCTCTTGGAACCAGTATTTCATTTATTAAAATGCATATTTATATTTGTTTTCTATCTCTTGTTACTACTTAGAAAAAGCCTGCAATAATTATTTTTAGTTTGTTAGTACTGTTAGTAGATGACATTTCTGTTCCTGGAAATCTAAGCTTAAAACATAACTGTCTTTTTAAGTCATAGCTGAATTTCTGGATTTGCTTTTCAGAACTCTTAAGATGCTCGTTCGTTGGTGTAACTCAATCACATGAGTGTCTTTAAGCTGGGAAAACTGAGAGTATAACCCCAAATAAACTAAATCTAGTTTTCTGTACCTTAACTGTGTTTTTTCTGAGAAAACTGGGCACAGAAAGGTCTTTACCCATTTTTAAGTTTTAAATTGTTTCACTCGCCAGTAAAGAAGTAAAACAACTTCTATATAGGTATTCCTGGTAAAATGTATTTTTCTGTAACCTCTAATATCAACACTAAACATTGTAGGGGATATATTCCCTCCCCTCCTTCTAAATTTTACTCTAATTGTGGTATAAGACTACTGATTCTAGAAATAAATCTCTGTACCATTGACTTCATGGCTGCTAATGGCATATTTATTGGGCTTCTGTCTTTGCACTGTAGAAGACAGGATGATGTAGA